ACAGGCTCGTATTAGACCACCTTCTTTTTAAATTGAACAGCAGAGCTTTTAATCTCTAATCTTCCCCCATCAGTCATTTTGGGACAGTTCCACTGTTGCTACAAACACAAATTTAGAGGGTTTTAAATTTGTGATACTAAAATTCACAGTTTTTATATTTGTATCAATAAATATTGAGGTTTCCCACTTAAATATATTCTGTTTGAATGTCTTCTGATTGTACCTGGAAAAATAACAATAATAAAACAAAAATGAAAAATAAGTCTCTTTAAATTGTGTTAACAGATTCGAGTGGAGCTGCCATGATGAGCAGCAGCAGCAACAGACAGGTAAGAAGTCGACGCTCTGCTATGACCTTAATTCATCAGAAACAACACCGAGCAGATCTGCAACAACCCAATACATTGAGTCACAGACACAACCCAATACATTGAGTCACAGGCACAACCCATGATAACAATCTGCTGGTTTTATTTTTTCACGTCATATTTTGGTTTGATATCCTGGTTTGATTTGTTGTTGTTTCTCATTGTCTCCATAGAGATTGCATTTTAATTTGAAAATTAAGCTTCCTATTGGATAGTTGAGCCTAAAGTGTGGAATGAGACAGCCTCTATTTCCTAATGGAGCTGTGCAGATGTATTGTGTGAGGATGGAGTTCCTTTCTTTCCACCACTAGTCAATACATTTTCTAGAGTCATCATTAACCAGAAGACAGGGAATGTTCACACACCAGTTTCTTTTGAAATACCTCCCAGGTAACGTTTCGGGCTCAGGCCCTGGATGATATGAAGGAATTACTTGTACTCTGGTTTTTGTGCCTTCTGCCCAACATCATGTTTGGTTGTGTGTGCTTTTATATATTTTCTTAAAATTATATTTAAACATATTTAATAATTAGCACCTGTTTTTAAAAAAAACCTTAAAGGGTTCCTGTACTGAACTTATGAGAATCAGCTGTTTAAAAATCAAACAACATTACGATTAGTTTGCCAAAGTCGATATTTCAAGCTGAAGTTTAGCTTGTTTAATGAATTTGAACATTTAGTTGAAGGGATGTTGTTTGGATTTTTTTACATGACAGATTTTCATTGATCATAACCCACTGACCTTCAGTCAAAGGTCACATTAGCGACAGATAGACGTAGTAGATGTCCGGCCTTGAGTCTGATTCTCTTGAAATTTATTGCATAACTGCAGATTCTAATACAAGGCATTTATAAGTTGTTCTTCTGGCTTGTTTTTTTCATGAGCTCATTTATGGAGTTCTTTAAGGAAGCATACAAATATTTACTGTCTGCTGCCAAACATTGACATTGTGTGTTGTTTCAGAGATTTTAAGATTGTATTCATTAGGGATTTAGACAGTAGGTGATAGCTGTTGTAAAAATTGCACTCATCTGTGTATTTTTATCTGTAAAATGTGAATATTTATTGGATGGTTGTATTTGTGGCTCTGACAGTTGAGTACTAAGACCAATGTGATATTTCTGTACCTTTGCCATGGCTGAGCAGGGACAGCCGGGGTAATGCCTGGTGTTTAAGAGACACTGTGCATTTGTACATTTTATAATCAGTATTAAAAAAATCTTGTATCTGGATCATCTGCAGCAGAAGATTGAGCTTAAATGCTTCTACAATGTTAAGTCTGTTACACATGGATCAAAGTGAACAAAAAATATCTGATCATAGACTGTATACAAAGACGGCCGACATGACAGCTCCCCAAAAGTGATGCCAAGGCGTCTTGATCGTCCCCTGGTGGCTGACAGCACTACAAGTCAAAAACCCTGCCTCTTCCATGTTAGTGAATGGGACATGGTCTAAATTGAAAAGTCAAAGTAACAAACAAATAGATAAATGGAAGAATCCTGTTGCTGTGCAAATGTATGATGTGGTCAAATAATATACTTCAATCATTTACGTTTTATTTCTGCAGGAAGTGTTGTTATGTCAAACAAAAGTGTTGAAGGACTTTTTGAATTATAGTGTGAGCCTTGGGCGTAGCTCCATTTTCTTAAGTCAGTATACATTTTATGTTTTTAGTGTGTATTTGCAATGCAAGTAAAAATGCAATTCACTGAATAGAGTCCTATCAGTGTCATCAGTGCTATTCTAAATGTGTTTATCATCAATTATAGATCAATTTTATATTTCCTACTGGTACCATACATTCTGATGGTGCTTATGAAAACACAAAGCGTTTCACCTACAAGTGAACAGACCTAAGAAGCCACAGTGCTGTCATCCCCATGGACAGACACTGGATTGAGTAACAGCCTCAGTGTTGTTTTAGAGACGTTTCCACACTGTAGGATGTTTTTGTGGGAAACATTGATTGGCGCAGCATCATGAGATCACGCAGAATCAACAGAAGTTAAACAAAACTGTTGCTGTCTCTCTGCTCAGGACGGCCCTGCAGGACTGTGGGACTCTGTGAAGAAAGCTGCCGTTGTCATCGGATCTGGAATCTTATTCTTGGCTGCGTTCGGCAACTCGCTGACATGGTAAGATCTCTTCAAGCGAAACATTATTAACATTGCAACACAGCAGCAGTTTGTCCTGAAATAAGCCTGAGGAGGACCCGAGGAGTGACATTGCTGCAGGTTATCACATCAATGCACAGTAGAGAGGGTGAGAAAGGCAGGATAAGAAGTGAAACAAAACAGAGGACGGTGCAGAGCAGGAATGTGCAGGTGAGGAAAAAGCAGGACAGTGTAGGACATGGGCCTGTGTTTGAATAAATGTTAGATTTCACCATGTTAGAAACATCCTGTAAACCTGACACTCAACACTAATTCTCCCTCCAGGCATCTTCAGAGATTCTGGGGAGCTTCGGGCGATTTCTGGCAGAACATGTGGACCCGGCTGTACGTGGCATATGAGGGTCATGATGCTGCTCTGTTCTTCTTTGGTACGAAACAACTGTGTAGCCGTGTTTCTTCAGACGATCGTGCTGCAAAACAAAGGCACACAGCACTCAGCTCTAAAAAAACATAATCAAACAAACATGATTTGATCTCCTCTGAGATACAGAGCTTTGTTTTCTCGATGATGTGACTGCTCAAAACTATTTTTTTGATTCGGTATCATTCATAGAAGAAATACTGTACAACTGAAACCTCTGTTCTCAAGGTTTATCATGCAGAAATCATGTGTTGTGTCATAAACTGTCCGACTGCATTTCTCTGTAGGATATTATCTATGTCAGACATTTTGTGTTTTACAACATAAGAAGCATGTAGTTGTTTGCTGTCCTGGCTCTTAAATAGTGGAACGAGCTCCCCATTGACACCAGGACAACAGAAAGTCTACACATCTTCCGTCGCAGGCTAAAGACACATCTCTTCCAACTACACCTTGGTGATGAAGATGATGTCTGGTAACTAATTCAAAAATATTATATATATATATATATATATATATATATATTGTTGCACTTACATGTAGCGCTTTGTAGTTTGGCTTTTTGAAGCCAAATGTGCTTACTTGATTCTTGTTGATCTGGGTTGGTTCCCTCATGGTTGATGCAATTATTGTCAGTCACTTTGGATGAAAGCGTCAGCTAAACGAAATGTAATGTTATGTAGTTTATGTAATAATATTATAGTTATTATGTAAAAGTATGTAACGGTGACAGTGGCCCTGTTTATCTCAACAGGGACGATGTTCATCCCCACCGTGGCGTTCTGGGTCCCAAATGCTCTGCTGCTGTTGGCGGACACCACCGGTAAACCTTCCTTCATCACACGCTACCGCATCCAGATGGACAAGAACAACCCGGTAGGATAATAAGCCTCATTATTCGATGAGAGTTGGATTAGGTTATCTGACTCTCGACATAAAGAGTTGGCCCTGCTGTGTTGAGCCATGTGTTTAATAATTGTTGAGTTCTTGCAATTTATTGGTCACTTCAGACACTAGATTGATTCTGTGTGATGTTTTGGATGCACTGGGTTTTTGTCTTATGTTGCTTTTAGACATGCACTGAAGTCCAGACATTTTCCTGCCAGTCCTGAGTAAAATGTCTGGACTTCAGTTCAGCTGCACCTGATGGATAAGAGACTCTCCTCAGCAGAGATAGAAAGGACAGGTCTGACAGAGGAGAGGAGGACGTGATCTCGTGTGTCCACATGTCCATCTGACCAAAGTCCTGTTTGAGTAACAGATGTTGTCGGACACTGCAGAGATAAAGGCTTGATAAGTCTGATAACCAAGGCTGGAGGTGACTCTGGAAATGTAATTGGATTATTGATTACCTTTCACTGATTAGAACAAAGAAGGCAGTGTACATTAAGTGTTTTCATGTTTATTAATAATCAAACCATTTTCTAGACTCTGATTGTAGTGCCAGCTTTACCCAGCTGTGCTATACATCAAATCTGTTGTGTGACATGCATTTACACAACATTTCTCTTTGTGGTAATCAACAGTGATAAGCTAAGTGTTTTCTATGGTCCATTACTCAGAGGAGAGATACCTCAGTTCACTGACCGATAGTAACAAGTTGAGCAGCAGGTCATAAACAAGGCCAGCATGTGCCGTTATATAACAACAATACAACTTGCATAACTGGTTGTGTACTATATCAGTTAATCCACCTGTAACTTAAATTCAGAGTCTGTGGCCACCAACATAGATGTTTTTCTTTTTAGGTTTTAGCTGACAACACACAATGAACCAATCAAGATTAGTGACAGTATCTGTTTCCAACCCTTTTGGCGATATTCCAAACTAAATCAAAGATTCTTTCATTTCCAGGGTTTCACAGGTGTTTGTTCAGTTCGATGTGGTAAATAAAGGAAGTAGCAGACTAGGACCTTAAATTAATAATAATCTATCTGCTTCAAACAAGTCAAAATATCTGTTGGAACGGGTCTATTACTCAGTTGTTGTGTTTGAACTTTAGTCAACACTCATTAATGTATAGTCTACTACTGTACAGAAACTATGCAAAAGTTTATCTGAGTACACATACATGTACTCTCATTTATAGATACATACATGTGCCCACACACACGCACACACGTGCGCACACATAAAGGTCAGGCAATGTCTGTGTGTTTATAACCAGGGTTCAAAGTTTACTCATCCAGTGGATTGACAGATTTCAGCTGTATCTGAATTTTAGTCAAGAAAATAATTAATACAACATAAATAACAGTAAGAATAATTAGAAACAATGAGAAC